ACACACACACACACACACACACACACACACACACACACACACACACAAAACATCTTTTGGTCTGAAGAGAGAATCGGCGGCTCATCCACTGGGGGGTGGGGGGCTGCTGCTGAGTATCTTCACATCTTCTGCTATTTGTAACCAATGGCCAGGAGCAGACTTGAGAAATTCAGCCGGTCAGAAGAGCAGAGGCGACTCTCTGGAGGGCGATAGTGGAGGAGGAGGCTGGAGATCTGTCTTGGCAGCTTCGCCATTTCGTCTGAGTGCAACATGACTGGAAAACTTGATCCATCTCCAGAAAGCGTATGCGTATTTGGAAATCAGAAATGATTGTTAAATTTGTGAGACTGAATACTGTAATACTAGTCTAGCGCTGCAGCTAACAGTCGCTGTCTGCCTGGCTTACTCAAAGCTGCTACTGCTGCAGCAGATGATGACATATAACGGTCTTACATAACTGCATTACATTGTGCAATCAGGGCAGTTGGGTCTGAGGAATCGGGACACAACGGTTTTATCATAACGCAAGATGATCCAAGGAAACAAAATCTATGGATTATGGAAAATGAGGTTGACCAATCATGATTGGTTATTTAAAGGAATAGTTTGACATTTGGGGAAATACACAAAGATGAGATCAATAAAGCGCTCTTATATATCTGTTAACTATAAAGCCACAGCCGGCTTAGTTTAGCAGAAAGACTGGAAACAGCTAGCAAAAAATAAATAATCCGCCTACCAGCAACTCTAAAGCTCACTAACTAGCATGTTTGAAGCATATCTCATTTATCAAATCTGTATTAAAAACCAGATTTAATGTTTCCTGTGAACAGAGTCAGGCTAGCTGTTTCCCCCTGCCTCTTTGTGCTGAGCTAAACTAGCTGTTCCTGGATGTAACTTCATATTTACAAGACAATTATGAGAGTGGCAATGATTTTCTCATCTCTGCATGAAAACAAATAAGCATTTCCCCCACAATGTCTTTAAGAGTATACTGTATGATAGGAGGCTAACAGAAGCCGCCAGTTGGTCTAACCACACTTAGATGAAGTGGCAGTAACATATGCACAGATACAGAAGAGTCTTTTCCCGTTTTATTTCTGTACTTCCTTCTCATTTTTAACCGCACTCTTTTCTCATCCATTGTTTTCTTGCGTCTGCTGCACAGCTCTCTCTGGGTCACAGGAGCAGGAGTTGCTGCTGCTGAGTCAACATCACAAGTGGAACACTGGCCTCACAATCACAAAGACACACACACAAACAAAATGCACACACACACACACACACACACACACACACACACACACACACACACACACACGACTATTAAGTTTACTTTACTAGAGTTATCCTGTCGCTACGGTGTCTGGGAGTAAGCTCAGTGCAAACATTCTCAGACTGTCTAATAGGTGAGCCCAGTAATCTATGTGGGTCGTGATCCACTTGCAGGTTGTCCACATCGGACAGGTCTATACTTGTGTTATACATTCTTGAAATATTTGAATGCATGGTGTAGTCTGTGTCTGAATTTTCAGAATTGAAGTAATTTTGGATATATTTAATAAATAATATATTTGCAGTTCTCAGGCCATGTCTTGTGGCTCGTGTCCACTGTACTGAGATCGCAGTGTGTACACATTGAGTGTGCATGTTTTGTGAGTGTGAAGTAGTGATAGAGTGCATGCACTGCTATGGCAGACTAAGATATTTTCTTATCTTCATATAGTATGTCTGCTATGTTCTGACTTTTCTGTCCTTTCCAGCACAAGTGTCTTCATTTGGGCTTTACTCTCAGGCAGTGTATTATGTTTATATGGCAAGCCTGAGCCTAAATCCTTATAGCTTAAGGTTTGACTGTTAAAAACCTGGAAATTAATACTTTTCCCCCCCCTTTATCTGTCCCAAAGGTCCAAAAAAGGGAAGGTGTGTTTTTCTCTCTGATCTGCTTCCACCCTAACTGCAACATCTGCTCCTTTTTAATCATTTCAAAATGGTTATGACAGACCTTCATGCAGACAGGATGAATCATAGATGCTTTCATTATGTGTGTATTTGGCTTCTATTAGGATGGCTGCCTTTGGACTGCTCACTGTTCATACAGTGATTTTCAGAATACCGTTTAATGGGATTGTTGCATCTTTTGCAGTCAAGAATAATACGTTTTCATGCCTTCAGCTTGATTGGTGGTGTTCTCCTCTCGACCCAATCTGTTTTAGTGCTAAATCAATAAGTTGATCGTCAGGAAAATGATTTGGCAAACATTTAAATAATTGATTTTAAGTAATTTCTTACGTAATACTGCCAAACATTCCCTTGTTCAAGCTTCATAATGTGAGGATGTGCTGTTCTAGTAAATTGACTATTGTTGGATTTGTGTGTTGGTTGATCAAAACAAATTGGGACAGGCATTTAAGACCAATCCATGAGTTGATTAATCAAGACAATAGGCACATTGATTAGTAATGAAAATAAACAGTTGCAATTGCAGCCCTACATTTTAATAAACACATATTAACTAAATCAGACAGTCAGCGTTGCCTAAGTTATTGTGGTGCACAGATACGGAGCGCCTCCATATTAGGAGCTTGCTATAATTCCAAATTGTCATTACATTTAAATCAAGGTGTTAAATTCATCTTGAGCTCCAATTTATCTTTTTCTTATTAGAATCAGATTGGTGCAGCATTGCTCAGTTCATGTTCTGCCAAATGTTTTTATTCACTTTGTGTGCATTTAATTTTGCCAACTCATGTTTTTCCATTAATACTTTTGAACTCATGATTTGTCTACAGTTTATTGACTCCTCCTGTCACATGTCTGTAATGGGCTATAATGTTTGTACAGTGCAAATAAAAGTAAAGTAAACGAATAGCTGTACCTGTGCTCAAATGTGTTTGTGAAATGGTGGTTAAAAGATGGGTCCTTTTTATTGCTACTTTTTGGAGATCTGCTCCTAAACAGTTTAAGTTAAAAGCAAAACAAAGGTTTAACAGACAGTATTCAGAACTGAATCCAAATGCTCTGTAACTAACCAATGAACATGAAGGAATGACCTCGTTGACCGGCATATGGAAAGTAATCTTGCAGAGTAACAAACCGGTGACCACATACGGTAATAAATCATTTTCTTTTTTTCCCTCTGAGGTTCACTCACAGCCTCAGTTACACAAGCAGTGGGTGTCAGCACATTACACACAGCAATCACTGGCAGCACATGACAGGGGCCACATTAGGATCATTCCGTCAATCCTGTGACCTTTGAGATTGAGGCCGGGATAAGTGTAAGAACAACGCGAACTCAATAAAACTTTTCATACTTCCTTGTTTGTCACAAGAGTGCAGATTATTTTTGTGTGCAACTGTCAAGGGGAGGACATGTAGGAATTGGGTGGGGCAACAAGTTAAAAGAGACCGAGGTCAGATTGATCCTTTACTTGAAAAGATCACTCACCGAAGATTTCCCCATTCTTGGCATACTCCGTGACTAAGTAAAGCATGTTCTTCGTCTCCATCACCTGAGAGAGGACGAAAAAACAGGGGGCCGGGGGGGGGGGGGGGGGGAGAAAAGAGTGGGAGAGTGAATACACACAGAAGACCAATTTTCATTAGCAATATCACCAGTTGGTTTAGTTTTACATTCTCCTGCAACAAGAGAGAATTAGAAATAAAAGGAAACTAACAACAGACTCAAATGACCCAAATATTACACAATTGTCCACATGGGGTTCTCTGAGGTTCAACTGCAGAGTCTGGCATCAACAGAGTCATGAGCAAAACAAAATGCATGAATGGTCCAAGGTCTAAAAATGGTTGTCCATGTAAGAGAATGGAGGTGGACAGTTGGTGTTGCCGAGTATATCTGAATGGTGCTTAAAGCCCTTCAGCCCTCACACGGTGCCGTGTTGTGTAGGAGGAGGAGAACCGATTTAGCAGCAGAAACACTCGGGAGATGAATAGAATTAAATTCGGAGGGGAGAATCAGTTGGAGTGGAGGATGAATCAGACACAGCGAGCCAGACATTCACAGTAGAAATCCCACGCTCATTGTTTATGATCAATTTTCCATCTGTTACATTGACCGATTCATGGATTTAAGAAATTATAGCCATTTTTTTTTTTTATTTTTTTTTTTTTGGGGGGGTGGTTGTGTAACAAGCACATTTTGTCCTCTCTGTATTGTGGAGCTGGAATACAACTGATTGAACGATACCGAGTACATATACCCAGGCTTACTTCATCAATCAAAACAAGTAGCATTGTGAGCCAATACAGCATCCAATCTGGGAAATAAACATTTTCTCACAGCAGACATTTTGACTTGTCACAGCAGGAAAAACACAGGTGTAACTAATAGTATCAACGATGGCTCCGTCTCATTCAGTTGTGCCAGTAATCCAGCATGTACAATAGCAGGGCCCTGGCACACCTAAGTGGAATGCAGCCATTATTCATGCTATGTCCATTTTCAATTCATGGTGGATATCTTTCAAGTGTTTGTTGCTCTTACAGTCAGCTACATGCTGACTATCTTCATACGTTGTCTGTCGTGGATCTATTAGCAGTCTTAAACTGTTCCTTCAAACGTATTACATACAGCTCCGGGAAGGTTTGGCCAAAAATCGGTGAGATGCGGCAGATGTTTTGGGCAGCATTTCTCCCCCCTCTGGCAGTGAGAGCAATTATCATATAAGAGAAACCGTAGCGATGGACCAGCAGCTAGGAGTATTGTGCAATATCATTAGAAGTGTCCAAGAACAGTTTCCGGAGTGAATGAATGCTCCAGATAAAAAATAAATAAACTTGGCATTCAGAGGAAGATTAAAGTCAAACTGGAATGACCGACTCGCAGTTGTATGCCTCCGCCAACCAGTTAGGATGCCGTTTACATCCATGTCTGTCAAAAATGTCATCATTTCATCCAATTAAGACATTTGTGTGAAATTGTCATGATGGAAACTAAATCCTAATGAATTAATCCTTGAGTCCAAATGGATGCGTGTGCCAGACATGGGCCAAGGGATCATTGACCCCCTCATTTTAAGGCCTTGTCCCACTTTCTTTTTAAAATCACGAACCAATGTGTCCCCGCAAATATTGCAGCTATATCGAAACACAGTAACAAAAAAAAATCTGTCACTCCCATCCAGCCCGTGCGTGTCAGACGTGTTTTCAAGTCATTTTTTGACAATACGAGCATAATTGCAAGTTTGGGAAAAAGAGTGTGCTGTAGTGATGTGCGGGTCAGGTTTTTTTTATTACCTGCACTCACCAAGCCCCCTTATGAGAACCCCACCCGCGAACTGCCAACATCATAGTGGCACATTTGTGAGGACTGAGATCCTCGGCGCTCTCTAAGATGCTGATCCTGCTGCTGGGAGCAGCTAGAAGCTGTCAGAGAGCTCTCTTTCTCCTCCGCCCACAGTAATGGGGAGATATAGGCTAAATAAACAGTACATTTCAACAAAATTGTAACCTTAGGTCTATACTGTCTTTCTTAGCGTAGTGTTCGGCTTAACTGTGTAGTAAAAACATGTGTTCTACAGCTTCAGCATTTAACCTATTTCCATTTACGTCGAGCTTGGACCAGCTGAGCTGAAAGCGAGCGCACTAGATGCGCTTGTTTCTGGATGCACCACCTCTACCCAGCATGTGTGTAGCGACGGCCCACCTTTCCCACCATGTAATCACTGTGACCTTAAACTTTGACAACCAAAACCTAATCAGTTCATCCTCGAACGCAAGTGGACATTTGTGCCATATTTGAAAAAAATGAAAAAATTTGCCAGGTGTTCCCAAGATTTGGGACAGATTACTTCCATAGAGAAGTATGGACGCACAAACCAGCTTAGGCAGTCACTGCCGCAAAAAAAACATAAAAATGTGCATGGGAGGACTTGAAGAGAGCGCTCCTGGGGGGCAGCTCACCTGCAGGCATACGTGTGCCAGCGCGGGAAAGTCGCCACAGACACCAGACACCTCGACTTCGATATACTACAAAACACAGAGAGCTTTCTCTGGCGGCCATAGACTGAATCAGCATTGTCTAAACTTGTTTAGCAAGGAATGTAACTGACATTCATGTACCAGTCATGTCTACAGCTTTAAAGTAGTGCTGGGTGTTGTTTTACAGTTTCTTTATACCAGAGTTTGCTTCCACTTTTTTGATTACATTGAGAAGCAAAAAACACATTTTTCTACAAAACACTCTTTCCATTTAACAAAAGATGCCAAAGTTGTAGTCAAAACACAAGCAGCTGCACAATAATCTTTCCAAACAAAAAAGACTAAAATTGGAATAATTCTCATTTTAATACGGAACTTTCCTTTTAACAAATGAGACAAGAATATTACAAGAACAACAGATTTGAAAACCAGATTTCGATACAGGACAGTTGTAAATACTCGGTTGGTACCCAAAAAGAAGCTTCGCTCCCCACCCTTATTTGCAATGTCACGTATCAAGTCAATACGATGCCTCATGCGCTTGTATGAAGTAAGTAGGAGTCCAACAGGATCGTAATACTGTGTTTAAGACCTTGCTGCAGCAGGCCGTGTGGCACTGGCTACCCTATAACACATCCATTTATATTTCATGTCTACAGCTGCTTAACAGTAAATGCCTTTCCTGTACCATCGATAATCACTACACCACTTCGATACAGCAGATATTATACATTGTATACAGTATTATATCGTAAGTATGTTCTGACACTGCCGATGGGAAGGTTTGAAGACCATCTAAAGTAACATTTTCGACTGATCCCGTCTGAATATTAGGTCATGGGGAAGAGCAGCTGTAGTCCCAGTGGTGAAACACATGCTGTGTACAGGATAGATTGTTTCATGTTTCAATTAAAACACTGTAAATGCATAATTTATAGAACTAAATGTAATAGTGTTAACAATGTGGGCAATAACTGTAGCGTGGAGGATATATCGAATTAGGCTCATGATCCGTGCAATATCCTCAATTTTTCAAGCATTTCCTGTAACGTGATTGATATTCACGGGCACTCATTTTGTATTGAAAAGTATTGATAGCTAGAGAGTGGTTTTGTAATTATCAAAACAATATCAAGTGGTTATTATGACTGTTTAGAATCTTTGTAATTGTAGAGGGACTAGAACAAGAGGGAAAAGCTGAACACCCGAGAGATTCAGAGGATGGTGAGATGCAAATGCGAACAGATGTGAGGCAAATTACCGCAGACTGAGCAAAGAGTTCACGCCACACATGACAAACTACAGGCTTGACTCAGGCTAAACTGAGGCTTTCCTTTGGGCCAGTTTATGAAACTAGAAGGGAAATTACTAATTGACCTGAGCTGATTGGATGGACCGGGCTGTTGGAAATAATGACAAACACCAAAATAACACAGCAGAAAGCTGGAGCAGTGCCACATGGTTGTGTAATGATAATGAACACTCATTTACTTCCCCTAAACAAACTAACAGGACCCCAAAGGCTTATGTAATACAACTGAATCGCCCAAATTGTTGAGGTATTGGCAGTTGGGCTATTTTGTGGCAGACAGGAAGACATCACAGCAACAAAGTGATAAAAGTTTATTTTTGAGTCACGTACAAATGCATGTGCACTTGCCCTCGTACAACTGGACATGCATACAACTACATGACAATGCTTTTAGCACACATCACACCATCTCCATAACACAAGTGTAAGTTCCACGACACAGCCAAGAAAAACACATTTCTGCTGCATGAAACCATATCATCATAAGAATTTCATGAATTAACCATGATAGACATCTTGGCAGTCTGGTAAGAAACCATGGTGTGCAATGCATTTTGGGGAAAGAGTCTGGGTCTGTCTGAAATCGTACACTAACATACTACATTAACGATGAGTGTGCCATTACCAGACTGTATAGATCACAACGTCAACGGTCCAAGTTAATGTTTAATGAAAATGTAAATCAACATTACCTCTTCCACTCAAAGTCAGGATTCCCAGTCAAAGTTTAAGGCAAATTAAAATAATTAAATATTTAAGTGTTACATGTGTTTCTACAGGAAGTTATGTATGTGAGCTCCAGTGTTTTTCCTATTAGGGGTACCTTAACGTCACTCACCATCATTTGTAATTATTTCAACGGTTAATTGTTTAAAGCATCTGTCTCACAGTCTACCATCAATGTACAGAAATTCTTGCTCTTCTAGTATACATCTGGGCATTTGTCACATCCACAAAATCGATACAGTTGGAACACACTACAGACTCAATTTTACGTTTTAAACTTGCTTTGCACCGATTCATCTGCATCAGACTCCCATCAGATTGCAATGCACTCTGGGCAGGAAAAGACCAAAGAACACTGCTCATGCTGCAGCATTGCTTGTGGTGGTTGATGTATAGCCACCAAAACAAAGGCCTTAAGTTCAATACACATTAGAAAATATAACACCCTTAAAAACTTATAGAAGATGTCTTCTTGGCAATTGCTGAAGACTTTCACGTTGGGTCGTTTTAGCCAAGTCATTGTACAAATAAACACGGATACTGTGTCCCCCAAATTCAATTAAATACTTTTTGAAGGTCCCATAAAGTCAGGGGCACTGACAAGAACTACTAATTTGTTTCTAACAAGCAATGAATCCATTCTGGCCTAAATAAGATGTTTTAAGTCGATATAAAGTGTAGCATAGATCCATATCTGATTATAGCATGCCGGCTAAAATAGAGCCTTATTGCAGTACAGGTCAGATCTGATGTCCCAGCACAATAATAAAACATTTACAATATACAACCTTTTAACAACAAACACTTGGTTTTAAGCATACCAGCAGCAGCTTCACACACACACACACACACACACACACACACACACACACACACACACGAACACACACACACACACACACACACACACACACACACACAAACACACACACACACACACACACACACACACACACACACACACACACACACACACACACACACACACAAACACACACAAACACACACACACACACACACACACACACACACACACACACACGAACGTCAGTCAGTCATTAACTATGCTCTCATATCTTAAACTACCCAGGGGTAGCTGTTTGCAAATGCATTAGAAAATGACCTGGATTGGTCTTGCGCTTCAACACCTCGACTGCTAAAGAACCAGGGAAGAAGATCAAGAAGGAGCAGCGGTGAATTGTGCTGCAGGAAACTGGTTTGCTCACAGATTAGCCAGAGAGGCGTGGCTAATTCTATGTCACCTGTTACATTACAGATGTTACATATTACATTATTGCTCTCTGCAGGGCCTTCTTCGACTGCGGGCTGTTTTCACAAAGACTGACAAAGATCTTACTCAGACTTCAAAAAGACATCTCCCTTCATCTGTTGCACAAACCCGTCAAGTTACAATCGTCTTCAGTTGGACTACTTTTCAATGAATTCCTGGCAAATTAATATTTTTTTTGCAAACTATCTAGTCAAACCCAAGATGGGCTCAGGATAGTTTCTGTCGGCAAATGTAAAAGACTGACGATGTCCTCACGGCTCACTATATTTTCAACAGGCTATTGAGCCATAAAATAAGGGACTAATCTGAGCGAAATTCAGACTGGCCTAAAATATCATTGTGAAACTGGTTATTACCCCTTAGGACAGTTTAAAAACAGGCAAGGCACAAATCAATCCGAGTGATTTCAGCCTTGTGTAAGAGTCATTATTGCTTTTACTTAATTGCACCATTTGTCAAGTTTGTGTGTGTGTGTTGTATACTAACTGGAGTAAATACATAGTATGGTGGCATTCTTCCAACATCTCTGCTACTTCGAAAGTAACAGCTACAAGCAGTTGTCAAGAGATGGGTCAAAGGAAAAGACCCGAGACAAAAATAAATCTCCTGAAAATCTCTTGATTGACAGACAAAAAACAACAAAAACCAAAATCAGATGAAACCATTGATCTTTGCACAGCATTACAACATGGGGAATAAAAAGTTACAAAAGATAAAACAATTACATATAAACAAAAAGTGCACAAGAGCCCCGATAAAACCAGGATGTACTGTAGTCTTAATCAGTGAACGCTGAGAGACTAATGCAGCCTCACTAAACAGTCAAAAGACAACAGGTAGTGGAGCTAGAAGCTCACCTGGTACAGCTTGATGATGTGGGGGTGATCCAGCATCTTCATGATCTGAACTTCTCTGTAGATCTTCTCCAGATTGACAGCATCCAGTTGGGTCTTGTCGATGATCTTAATGGCCACCTGCAGAACAATACAACTCCAATCAGTCAGTTTCTCAATAGCATACAATAGAATCATTGCTCGGCCTCATCAGACTTGATGAAAAGAAACACACTCGCATACACACTAGTAGAGATAGCAGTTTAATATTCTCCAAGAAGCAAAGGGATTCAGACAGTCTGTTCTTTTCAGAGAACTGCTTTTGAGCCACAGGATAAATACTTAAATACAGCTCGTGCTGAGGACCTTCATCAAAAACACTCTTGAAATTTGAGCCAAGATGAAATATCACATAAAAAAGGTACAGCAGGCCTCGTTGGATACACACAAACACCCCACAATCACACGTACATGTGTAAATGGACGTGCTCAAAACTTCAACACTCTTGACTTTGATTAATGATGTCCGGTGGGTAACGAGGCAATATTAAGATCTTTCCTTCAGACGGTCTCATAAACAACATTTCATCAGTGTGATCTGAAGCGTTTCCAAGTGTCTGTGAGCCAAACTGGAAGAGTAAACAACAGGAGACCCCAGTTCGCCTCTCAGCAATCGCACCGCTGTTAAGATTAAGTTGGAAAACTCTTACTGGGAGCAAAAATGACAAAAAAAAAGTATCTGGTTCCAGCTTTTTAAATGTAAATATTTGATGGTTTTCTGTGATACACTGAATGTCTTTCACTTCTGGACCATTCGGTCAGCCAAACAACCTTTCTGAAAAGGTCAACTCTGGCTTTTGGGAAGTTGCAAAATCAATAATGAGAATAATTGTTAGCTGCAGCCCTAAGTCAGATAATAAAACAGGATTGATGAATAAATCCATGAGTTTAAGGGTTTATTGGTTGCCAAAACCCAACATATAATGCAATACTGTCTGTGACACAGGATTTTCCTCTGGAAACTAGTGACAATGATCTTATCCTCCATCTTTACTTCAGAAAAACATCAGAATTACCCTGTTGCCTGTATCCGACTGGCTACACTGCGTGTGTTGCAACAAACGTTGAGCCACGTCCAATGTTTTCCACTAGATGATGCTGTATTTTTGCAGTTGGTATTCCTGCTGTGTTAATGCAGCGGTATAAATACTCTGAAGACGGCCTCATGTTTGGGTTTAATCTTAAAGTGAAGTCGGACATCTCAATCCCACCGACACCCAGTTTAACCCTATTTAGCATATTTGTAGTTAGCACTTATGCGCATTAATGGCTGTTTCAATACATTGAACACTCCTTTATCATCTCACTACCCACAGTACAAACAGGTATGCAATTTGCCATCACATCCTGTGAAGAAATCTAAATCTTTTAATGGCACTCCAGCTACAAGTCGAGACCTCCAGGGCATAACATTTTAAAATCGCTAGCCTACTGGATTACAGGGTACTTAGCATGAAAAGATCTGAGCAGAGCAACTGATTACATTGTCAACAATACTTAAAACGCACGCACACACACAGCATAAGAGTTCTTGTGTGCTCTGCTGGCACAACGTCATTCGAGGACAATGACTTACTGGGGAATTTAGCTCCCACATTAAGTAATGAGAGCAGAAAGGCTGGGCGGGACAATACTGTGACCAGATGATGGACAAAAGTACGACCCACTGAGCTGACAGGCAGGACCCCACGGGAATGAGCCAGCACTATATGACCCTCAAGCTGCGGTATGTACATAATGGGATGAATGGGTCAGTATAACACGCAGGAGGCACGAGTAGAAAAAGTAGGTTATGTACACAGATACACTTATCTAGGAATATGCACAAAGACGCATCAGATCTGTGGTTTCATGTGTCATTAAACTCTGCTTTTCTTCCCACACACGTTCCAGGTTAACATCTCTTTTGCCAAATTCACAAGGCAGATGGCATCACATAAAATCGATAGCCTGCCTCTCCAGCTGACCGTGGCCACTTAAACACACAGCTTGGCTCCGGCCATGGGCCTCTGCAGTGGCTCTCTCTGTAGTGACCTCTACCAAACCAGTGGCCTAAAAAAAAAAACCCCAGCATCAACATGCATGTTTTCATTCCACCTCGATAGGGGAGGGAGCGGTGCAGCCACTTAGTGAAATCACCTGGTGTCATGTTAGGCTGAAATTAAAACCTGCATTCAACATAGCAGTTAGTGGCACACGGTTGCAGATTACCTGGCTAGACTAACGCTGCGCCACTTCACAGGCTCTAATAACCAGATTAACACCAAAACAGTCTTAAGAGGCATTTTCCTACCTTGTTATTCATTTAACATTGATTAAACCAAGGGGCCTCGTCTGGATGATGTAAATCTTTTGTTTTTCTGTGCGGCACGATTGCTCACGTTCAACGACAAACAGTTTGAGGCCCCGTGAGGTCAAAGATCAAAGTGTGCAACTGTGTTTTCCCAACCCTATTTTTCCATCACTTCCTCTGTCCTCTTCTCACACACACACACAGACTGGACACTCTTTACATGTACTCCCCGTGTCTCCGTCATTACAATGGAAAGGCATGGCACTCAGTGGTACTGGTGAAGAAGCGCCTCTCTGTAGAGAGCTGACATAAACCTATCAGACAAACCCAAGCCCTGTTCCTTCTGTGCTCAATGCTTCATCGCCTGAGAGTGTTTAGTGTTTGCGATATCAAACCGTCTCCAAAACTAAGTGAAGACCCCCCCCAGAGCAGTGTCAGTGCATTGCTGTCTGCATGCATGCGTGCAGAACACTTTGCTTTCCAATTACAGAGCTCTAGCCCCGGCACATCCTGCTCCTCACAAAGCTCTCGCACTGCTGGCACAAGAAACCACCAAATCAAATCATTATTTGGATTACATAATGGGACCACCGACCCATGCTGCATGCATGCCCCAGATAACAGCGATGTTAACAGCAGCCAGACTTTTTTTGGGTTGGTACATTGTGGCCCAGTGGGTCATTACCAAAAAGAAGTGCAGGTGTATGATGCTGGTCTGGCGCAGGACAGAAAGAGTGCATATTTACAGTTTGCGTTTCTCAGCAGCACTGGTTGGTCAGACCTCTTACCGGCATTGATGCTGGCTGAGAGGAGACGGGGGGGAAGAGAGAGACATTGCTCCTGTACCTGCAGGTATTCAAACACACCAGCTGTTGCTCGCACTGGAGCAGCCAAGTGGCCCCGACGGCAGTTAACAGTTACCCCATCCAAGTTTCTATTAGTGCACGAGGTGGACAGCATTTCGGTATCTGCAGTCAATATCTGGGGTGTCAACTAGTGCAATAAAGTTATGTAACTCAGCCGAACAGTAGCCTAAGTTAGCTTTCAGGCTAACCAGTTCACCGACACACTCACCTCGGTCTTGGTTATTCGGTGTCGAGCCAGCTTCACGACAGCGAAATTGCCCTTTCCTAAAGTGCGCTCGATGTCGTAGAAGCCCACTCGGACGGGACCCCGGATCTGCGTTTTTTGCACAGTGTCAGCCATGACCATGCTGTACTTAATGGGACTGGTTGTGGAAGAAGTAGACGGTAGCCAGACGAGCAGGGGACACGCGGGGGGCTCACGCGGGGCTTTTGCTAGAGCAAGCTTACAGATAAAGACGAAAGGAAAACAAACCGCCCACCGCCGCTGCTGCCGCCGCCGCCGCCGCAGCTCGAAACGTGTCCATTAAAAATAGACAAAGTTGATTTCTGTGTCGCCAATCTTTGGCGACACTCTCCCCCCGTCAGTGCGGCGATACGAAGCAGGCCATTTGCTGAACCCTGGAGGGCTGTCACACACCACGTTCTCCAATACAATAGAGCGATAATATTTCAGCTCGAGGCACCTTTCTATCAGCCACAGAGCACGCGAGTTGACTCGCAAAGAGGCATCATGTTCTCCGGTTGACGTGTATTGACGTCAAAGCCATGGGGGTATTTGTACAGGGGGCGGGGCCACGAGGCCGTTCCACACTTCAGTGCCAATTGGTTGCCAAGACAACCAGACCCACCTCTTACGTCAACCGGTAAAATTGCTATTCTGAAATCTGTTTGCTCGCGTGTGCTGCTTGATTGCACGCATCGGTAACTTTGAAGTCCCCCCCCCCCCCTTGCAGGTGTTTGATCAGCTTTGTAGTCGGCTGCGAGTGAAAAACGCAAGGGGGAAAAAAGGGTTGAATTCATTCTAAATCAGCCTGAAACTGCCCATTTTTACTTGCACACAAGTAATGTGCTCTGCAAGAATGAAAGGAAAACATATTTTAAAAAAATAATATGCAAGTATTAAAGAAAAATAGATTTCACAGCATGTCTACTTACTTTTACAATCCAGAAAAAATGTGCAACTGACATTAAAAATCCCATATATTATCATATATAACATTATATAATGTGACATGGCAGAACCTCATGTGAAACTAGATATTTTATCAGCAACAAAGACACTTTGGTCAGCTACTTAACAGCGCCATCTATTGGAAAACATAGACAATTGAAGAAAGGCTACACATACAGTAGCCTACAGTAGGTTTTGTACTTTAGAAACAGGCATTTTTCATTTACACACATCTAACGTCACACAGAAATGTCCCCATTATTGAATCAGGAATGCAACCACAACATCTTGAAACCAAACTTTATTTGACACCCAAAGATCATGCCTTGTTTTGGGATTCAGCACATCCACACAAAGCAGCAGCTCATGCAGTGACAGTTTAGCAGTGCATTACTAAGCGGGCAGGGAGAGCAGCGCTCCGAAGGCCTCCGTTGTCACGCATGGACTTCCTGAATGTAAGAGTTCCAGATGTGCTTTTGGCATTTCCTGTCTAACATTCTCGAAGAACACGCTCAGCCTCTCCTTACTGGGCTTGCTATATCTTTCCAAGACACAGACCCAGCAGCCCACTCAGATATCGCTCAGGCATTTGTGTTCAGCAAATGTATTTCCATGATTATTTTACAGATTTACAAGGTATGCACATGCTTTTACAAGCAAACACTGTTGAATGAATCCATGACATATTCAAAACCGGTCTCTCCTAAAAAGTCAGAGCAGTGGAAGGGTTGAGTTTCCCACACAGTCAGGTGGAGTCGGAGAAAGGCCACAGCTTTGAGGTTTACTGGGGTCAGCGGAGTTCTGTCATCAGTGCTTCCGCATGTACAGTTCTGTTCTCTGACATCAGAGTCCAAACAGGAAGACTTACACTTCAGGATTAGAGAAAGGGTGAGAAAAGTCCCTGAATAGGACACCTCCACCGCTGTAGAGTGACAACAGGATCTTTTTGTCCTTGTGCCTCATAATATGTAGTGACGTGATTGGAAAATGGCTGTTTAAGTTTGGATTGTTTACAAGAGGAGTAACCTTGCGTGGGTCCTCAAAACTTGCACTAATTCTCAGGGTTAAAAGTGAAATGCGCTACGCCAAATATAGCAGCGCTGCTGCACCGCTTACCTGACCTGACTCAGTAATGCTTATTTGAATTCATTAATGCCTCTTTGAAACCAAAGCCTTTGTGCTGCAGTGAAGTCACATCATTTACCAGAGAGCTTGTTCATGATAATACATATCAATGTTATGGTGCCAATATAAGGTTGGCATTTGTGGTTTTAAGTGAAGTGTCTTAACAACTATTGGATTGGATCCCCTTATCCTAGTTTAAACACCATTTAATACTTAAAACCAAATATCTGCAAAACTAATGACATTCCCCTCAGTTTTTAGCTTGCTAATACACAAAACTATGATGGTGAACATGTTAAACATAATGCCTGCAAAAGATCAACATGTTTTCATTGGCCTTTGTTAGCGTGTTAGCATTCTGACATTCGCATTCAGCTAAAAGCACAGCTGTGCCTTAGCACAGCCTCACAAAGCTGCAAGCACGGCTGCAGACTTCGGGTCTTGTTATTTATTAAAAGGATTTAAAATATATTATACTTTTTATATAACTCATCGATTACTCTAGAGTCCAAAATATGCCGTGCTCAGATTTACAATTTCATCAACAATTTCAGAACTCTATTGGTGGGGCTCTGGGAAGTTCGGGGCCTAAATGTTATCTAACAGGGAAACCCTGCTTTAAGCCTTTATCTGACTTACAGCTTTTGTTGCTGGATGCTCAGGATGCCACACTGAAGATACACACAGGTGATAAGTTATTGTAATATATATAGGTCTAAATCCAGGCCGACACAGCCACGTGTTAAGTAATCCTGCACAACACAAGTAACCAGTAGGGTGTGCAGGAAGAAAAGGATGGAGAACATTGTGTTCCTCTGTCTAGCTGCGTTATATTCGATAGCTGGTATGAGGCTGACAGACACTCACAGAGATCAGTTAGGCATCAACAGTGTTATCCATAGATCTCATTTTCCACCCAACCAGCCTGCCGGTTCTGAGCTCTGCAGGTCTCATAGATGTCATTGGTCACAAAGCCGCTCTCCTTGTCCACGCATGACACATTCTCATAATCGTCACACTGGGAGTCCTGGGAAGGAGCACAGGAGTACTTTGTCATGATGCCTGCCGGCACGCTGCTGTCCAGAGCAGTGTCAGGCAGTTTGGTAATGTCACTAAAGGCGTAAGGTCCTTGTACGGCATTGGGTGAAGCTGTTTTTGACATCCACGGTTTTGATCTGCTTGGGTAGCTTTCTGTTTCTGTTTTCCTCCTGAATATGAAAGACATAACGTTAAAGAGCTCAGTGCAATCATCACAACATATTGCTCATCAGTGAAATTACCTCTTTAAAGGCCACATAAAGTAAGAATTTCCCAGACATGTTTTGAACAACAAACTTTTCTAAGACCAAAGATACAAGAAGTTTATAAGTCGAATAGGAAATGTGTGCACAGGAAATGTCTCACATTGGCTATAACTGAGTAGAAATGTATAAAGTTGTGCAAAAAAAGACATTATCTCTTCAAAAATGCTTCTTAGAATCTCGTTTTATTACTTTGCATGCAGAAACGTGTTCTTCTTTTACCTCTTAGCATGCTGTTTGTAGCAGAAGAACCCAGCAGCTGCAATCAGCAGCAGCAGCAGAGCTGGAATAGTTGCATAAAGGATGTAGGAAACATACAGGCTGTTGTCTGAGAGAGATACTGCAAAGGACAGAATATTACTGGCATATAACTTCCCTTAATATGACTTTAAAACATAGACCTTAATCATTGAATAGTTAGAGCACGTCACGATTCTGTCACTACTTAAAGCATTGGTTTATAGAAGTTTCCCTGAAAACATAGAGGGCTTTGACTCTAAGTTTTCTTTTCTTTTCTTACCTGATGACTCAGGTAGTCTTATTTTTATCCTCTCATCACTTTCTGTAGTTGAGAACACATTTGGCCTTAGAGATGGAACTGGAGCAATCAGAAAACAAATTAACATAATCAGTTGAGTATGAAAAGCAGAACTTTGACACATGACATCTCACCATTGCAGATTTCTAACTGATTAAAAGAAACAATTTTACAAATTCCATGTTCTGTGCGTTTGAATGTTCTTGTTTGGTGATCTGATCACATGCATCTCTAAGCACATTTAGCTTAGGTAGCCTGAAGTTATCAATCCTTAATGTAAACCAACCCACAAACTCTGAAATAAGACAATCTAGTTCTTTGTGGGCTGAATTGATCAGAAAACATGTGATCCAACAAGCTATTAACTTCCATAAAACGTTTTTATGTCACATGCATCAGAATATGGTTTAGTCTGACTTTTCTTGATCTAAGTATAAACACATCTGCAGTCGCTTGTTATCTATACATCATAGAAACATCATGCAAGGACAGTATGTGCGTGGTAGTCAAGTACATGTTGTACCTGCATGTGCTTTGTTCCCTTTCTCAGTAAATACTGGTTGTTTTTCTGCAAAAGACAGAGAAAGGTAAGTTAATTCAGCCATCCAATCCTTGTAAAAATATGTAATCAATGCTACTTCACTCTGCTAAAATAGGCAAGCATTCGAGAAACGCCTCCCATTCGAAATAGAAAGAAAAGACAAACAACAGGAAGAATCATTACAAATAGAATGTAAATAATATTCAACAACATGAAATGAGCCCTGAGAAATCTTCAGAGGTTTCAAGTGTTTAAAGTAAAACAATATGCTAATGGTTGTTATTTAAAAATGACCACAAACTGGCACACAAATTCTGTGAAGGGTCCCTGAAGGACTTAAAAACAGTGCAGGCGGTTGACAGCGATGGCCCTATTTTAGTTAATTTTTGGAAGACTTTGATTTTGTGTATTCAAGAACCAAATAAAACCAAAAGTGCCAACTGTCAATAATTCCCAGCACTGCCAGGCACAAAAGCACAGTTTCTGTGATTTACTGGCTCACCTTCTGGGTATTTGCAGACAAAGTTGTTCTTGGAGTTACAGTTGTCATCGTTCCACTGGAACAGGAAATGACCTTCTTCGTTGGGTGGTGCAGAGGGCTGGTGGTACAGAACCACACACATTTCAACACCACACGATGGCTCATCCCAGTGCCAGTTCCTACAGCAAATAAGATGCACAAGTTTAGATTCGTATTGCATTCAGATTGGACAATTTACATTATTGCATGCATAGTTTTACTTCATATCTGAATTTCTCATTCTCAAATTCTTGCAAAGGAATGCAGACATTCCATCACTCCCACACATGCACGATTTAATCCAATAATCTTTTCTAAAATGAGAAAGACCTGAATTTAGCCTTGCTTCCATCCAGCCAATAGTACTGCGAAGGGCAACCTGGGTTTGTGGTCCCTGCCCTGTAGAGCTGTGGGCTGCGGCGGAGCCCGATCCAGAAGTCTCCATCTCCAGCCTGCAGCTGTTGTATGAACCTCTCCATCAGTCGCTGCTCGCTTTCCGTTTCAATGCTGAGCAAGTCGCCTCCATCCGACCTGCAGGCCTGCCTGGCATCCTCAAAGGTCAGCCTCCGCCTGCTGTCCTGGATGTAGGACACCTTGTAGCATGGGCGCTCTGTCCCACGCCGACAGATCCTTTGGCCTGGACACCACAGTCAGCATCAGGGAGATAACACGATGATAATAATAATATGATATTTTTTTCATTTTCTGAAGAATTCCCATGGCACCCACGTGGCTGAATGACTATAAACAACCTGAAGCAAATTAGAAACCACAATCTCTTTGCCAAAGTCTTCCCACATGTTCCGGCAATGGTTAAACCATATGGTAGATAAATTACAGTGTAAAACCTGTATTTTTAAGGGCTTAAAAAAAGATGTTTTTCTTTCTAGATTGGGCTTGTTCCATTCAAAATAGTTTTGATGATGTGGTACACTGTGACAGATTTATAGATATGTGTCTGAACACGTCTGAAATGCAGTGGTTTGCTGAGGTCGCACAATTATGGCTTTACACAATGCATCTTGATTGTCTGAAAGGCACCTGTACCTGCATCATTTACAGTTGGTTTTTTTTCAAAATATATGCCAATTTATAAGCAGACAGGCAATATATTAAAACAGTGGTTCCCATACTTTTTTTAATTGCCCGTGACTCATCAACACAACATCATATTAGAGTTAAGACATGTGAGCTTATGATGTGAGAAAACAATAAGAAGTATAAACAAAAATAATCTCAGACATTTTATCTTTGAATAAAATACTTCTATCATTTTTTTACCTTTACAGATAACATACAAATAGAGCCAGTTTAAGGATTAGGGCGTCTGTTGTATACTGGTAAAGATTGGGTCTATTAGTAGGGCCATTGATATTATTATAGCCTGTCTAAGCAGCATAAATATTGTACTATAGCAATACAGTTAGAAAAACTATGCGACCCTTTGACGCAAACACCCTGTTGATGTTCATTTCCCACCACGTCACGTGCTGCTGTGTGACTGCAGCCTGTTTATAATTACAGTATCGTTCACACTGGCCGCTTCAGGCTTCTTTATGTTACGGTCCTTCTGGTACCAACGTCGTTACCTTAATCCACTAACACGACAATAAAACGTGCCTTAACAAATTCAAAGCCTCGTTCAGCGCTTTATGCAAACTTTTAAAATCTTTTTAAAATATCTCGGTACAAACAAACACGTTGAAGTCTTCAAAAAACACAAGATCACATCGTCTCGTCAGAGTTTAAATAGTTCTCGAGTTTTTTGTTCCTCCGAAGTAAAACTCCTACCATTTATTTTAGACGTGGATCCAGGGTGGAGAAAAACGGCGATAACGGTGCCAAACAGCTTCATAAAATCCATTTTTTTCTACATGTTCAACCGGTTGTGATGCACAACATGTCCTTAAATCAAGTTGCCTATAAACGTGTTTTAGACTTTAGAGGTTTTGAAACCCTGCGATAAACTGAGGATAGAGGCAGTCCAGTCTAAAGTGGGTCGGCTGGTGGAGGCGTGCTTATGGCGTCTAGCTGGCTGAAGGGGGAAAAACAAGAGTGAGATAGTCCAAGATTTAGCTACTGCTGTTCTCCCCTCTACATCTAAACTCAAATCACTGAGGTATGCATGTGTGTGTCTGTGTCTTTTGCTAGCAAAATCCCATTTCACATATAGTAATGACATTATAAGGGGATGAATAGAGTTCTTTGTGCTAACACTGTGCATCATGGTCCCTGTGTTAAAATAAAGAATGAGGATCTCTCATTCTTTTTCCACAACATACACACACACACACACACACACACAGGTTTAGTGCTGTCTGGGGAATTGAGTGAGAAAGCAGAAACAGAAACAAGACTTCAAAAACTGAAAGAAGCATGTTAAAAGTACAACTCAACCTTTCCTTGTCTGGTAAACATCCTGGTTTCATGTCATGTGATTCAGTTTGTCCACCACATGTCTGATGTGGCTGTTGGATAAAACACATCCCACACAAAGCCAGTGTAAGTGTTTGAAAGGAAACTGACTCACTGTGAAAACACCATTTGGAGAGACACAGCAAGGGCAGAAAGTGAGATAGGGACATAGCAAGAGATAAAGAGGGAGAGATTGGAACAGGAAAGCCTGCAGAGGAGGAAGAGGAAAGGACCATACTTCCTGTCCATTGCTTTGCTTTGGTTTCCAGACATCGCAGCTTCAATTCCAGAATATGAGTGATTGTAAAAGTCTGGAGCAGTCACATGGATTAAGCTTCAAAAACAACAATAATAACAATAATAATTTTACAATTTAATCCAGTCACATCTTCAGACTGAATTGTCCACCATAAACCTAAAGGCTGACAGGTTACATAGTGGCCCACGTCAGTTATCTTTGAAAGGCATGTTGTTGACAGCAGCACACCATTGCTGTTTGTATTCATGTTTGTGAGACCCAAACCTGTTCAGGCTAAAGCCGTAGAAGTAAAGCTGTGTTTGAATTTAAGGGGTACTTGATCCATTTAGTACTTAGTACTGTCACAATGCTGTCTGTTCACTGAGGAGGAAGCTGTGTCTCTTGCAATCCTCACGATGAATCACGAGTCTATCAGACGCAGAGAACAATGAGGCATTTGAGCTCTGTCTAATTCTGGCCAGCAGATGACACCAAACTACTGATGAAATGAGGCTGAGCAGCAACTCCCATTCACGTTTGAAATGAATCTGTTACTGTCCACTGTTAACGACTGTTACACCAGTCGTGACAAGTAAAAAAAGTATATTTACAATTTTGGGGTAATGGTGTTGAATATCTTTGCTTCATGGTTCTTCTATAATATACTTCTACTCCACAACATTTCATAGAGAAGTATTGTTCTTTTACTGAAATGTATTTATCTGACAGCTTTAGTTACTTTTAAGATTTTAAATATAAAACACCTTAAAAGTTTTAACCGGTGGTTCTCGATCTTTTTGTCCTGCGGCCACTTATAAAAACAGCAAACTGTCTTGTTGTGGCTCCTTGTCTTGTTTTCAGTTGTTCCACAAAGAGATATCTCCCCTCCAAACTTCTCAGGTTGTTTAATTTATACAACTGTTCAGTAAAAGTAGGATAAGAGGCAAGTCCAGAAAATGATAATAATTCTGAGTAGCAGAAACATTTGTTCTTTTTTCCTCTCCCATTAATAATCTCACGGCCCCTCTGTTTGACCCTTTGGAGGGGCCCGACCCCTAGGATGAGAACCACTGGACTGAAATACCCAACTTTATATAAAGTATAGCTACAACAGATGTGAGGGTCCCGGGACACAGGATGTCGTATGTGAACATATTGTAAAGCCCTCTGAGGCAAATTTGTGATTTTGGGCGATAATAAATTGACTTGAATTGAACAGCTACAAAAGTAAAATGCTACATATGCATGCATGCATCAGTATTAAAACTATAATATTGGCATACTGTATCTACAAATATATTAGTTGCAATGGACATTGTCCTGCATCAGGAGTATAAGTTTAATACATTTTGCCTATAATACTTATAATACTTTTACTAAGACTTAGATTGAAGCTATTTGAAGCTATTTGAAGCTATTTGAAGCTATTTTAAATGCAGGACTTTCACTTGTAGTGGATTATTTTTACAGTGCTGTTTTGGTATCATCGACAGGCATTCACTGTTTCATATTTCATAACAATGTATGCTTAGACAAAAACTCCTTTTCAACTTTGGAGTGTTACAACTGTTTTTTTAAACATATTTGCTAAGTTGGTTGACATGCTACATTCACATTAGCTACTCTAATGACCGTCTTTACTGTACATGCCCACAGAGTACAGTATGTCCTCATAAACTTCCCAGTGTATCCTCTTTCTTCCACAGCTAAATCTGTGTCCTGCCCTGGGCCTTGTTTTCATTGTTTTCTATGATATGTCAGTAACCATCATCGCTTTGTTTGTGAAAACCAGAAGACATGTTCACTAAGTCTGATGTATCTAACTATAGCGTCCCTACCAAAGATAATGGCCCATTTATGGTACATTTCTATTTTTTTTATTGTTGTTAAAAAAAGATACGTTTAGCTTATCTGAAGTAGGAATATTTTCTCAGCACCTAATCCTTACACGGAATAACCAAAATCTTTAAAATTTGAGATACATGGTTTTCATTGGGGACTGATGTCAATATGCTATAAATGATGTGCTGTTAGCACTTTACATGATTATTTAATTTATAGGTTAGTTATGGTTTATGCAGACCAATCAACCTATGGACAGGTGAACATTATTTTCCAGACTTCTCCATCCAAACATTATCTCTGACCCTGCAGTCAGAGCGATTACAGGGGAAAGAAATGGAGAATGTGATGAGAGTTCAGAAGAATGGCAGACAAGTTGTTTCAGAACAAGTGTCCGAGGAGGTACATTTCTCTGACGCAGACGAGGACTCAGAGATTGTAAAAGAGGGACACATCTATGGATAGTGTAACGAACGTCTTCTCTCACCATGGGCACATCAGCAGAAACACTGATGCTCCTGTTCCTTCTATATTTCTGAGGAACAATGGGGCTTCTCAGTTGAGCAGCAGCAGTTGTCGCCTAAAGAGACTACCTGTAATGCAAGTCAATGGAGACAATAGAGGAGAGGTTTGACATGCAAGGGAAATTGTTAAAGGTTAATCCTGGTTGGCTGTGGACTTCATTGCTTGTGGCAAGCAGCGTCACCTTTCAAGCATTCAAGGTGTTTCATTCTCAAGAAATTGAATTCTTTATTCCAGACAGTGAATCTCCACACAAATGATTTAGGAAATATACATCTTTCTTTTGAGAGTCAAGAGTTGATGTTTTTGGTTCTGAATAAGTAGGATTTGTAACTTATTTGTAATTCAGTACATTATCACAGTTATCAATTAAAGAGGATTTTGATACAGTATAATCAGAACTTCTATAATAATTTAAATTATTATCCCGCCCCAACGAGAACTCACGGTGGAAACGTGGAGAAAGTGTGTATGTGTGTGTATGTGAAGGGAGTTATAATTAGTTGAAGGAAGGGCTTGAGAGTCGCACCTCTATGGTTTTATGTGTCGAGGCTGTCAAATTCTATAAAAGCCACACTGCACAACTTCTTCTGTGACTCGAGACACCGGGTACCAGCAAAGGTAAAACTGTCTCATGGGTCTATATCTAAAATTCATTGATTTTACCAACATAATTTTAGGATAAACATAAACAGTTTCCACAAAGCAAAACATTTGCAACTTTTTGATACTAAAAATGGTACTTTTTTGTACAATTTTTGTGCCAATTTGTGCCTTTTTCTAAATAATAATTGTTTCCATATCTGCTCTGACTCAGTTGATATTGTTATTTCAGTGTCATTTTGGTGTTTTTATTATCGTTGATATTGTTATTTATTCTTTGTATAAGGACAGGATTTATCCATCGAACTCCAGACAGCATGACTCTCTATCTTTGTCTCCCTCTGCTGGTTGTGCTCCTGCAGCCAGCTCTGTGTCTCTACAACTGCTCGTCTGAGTATGAAAGAACCCCAGGTAGCTTAAACTATTACCTTTACTGAGCCAGATGGTTTTGTTTTGTATTAGTATTCTGCAAATATCAGAGCAGATGGTAATTGGTGACTAATACTAATTGTGAAAATGACTTTTTCGCAATGCTTATTGTAATGGACTTTTTCCTCATCTCTGTCATTGCAGCAGTAAATGAAAAAAATTGAAAAATTGTGATTCCACTGAGGGTAAAAAACGTGCAGTATCAAAACATTCACGGTTTCGCCTTTCTTTTCCTTTATAGACAATTCAGACTTGTCAGTTGTCTGTGGCGCCAGGACGATCAGCCTGGAGATCAACCTGTGCACGGCTCAGTGGGCAGGCTTCAACACCACAAACCTGGCTCTGAACGGGAAACACAACACTACGGAGTGCCAGGGCTCTATCGACACCAGCGTGGACCCTCCAATCATTCGTTACCAGCTTCCTGTTAACCACAGTCAGGTTAACCCCTGCCGCCAGTCTCTGCAGGTCAGAAGGTGTCTAGTAGAGGATGTAGAACAATGTTGAATTAATGGACACATTGTGCCACTTCTTTTAGGGTTATATGGCAGTATAGAGGAAGGTCATGCAATGATTATTTTGTTGTGTTGTTCAGATTGTGGATGAGGCCCCGGACCCCAAAGGTCCATTCAGCAACTTCTTAAGTATCCAGTATGTTATCATCACCGGGTTCATTGACACACCCAGATCTGACCAGGGGTTGATCAGCTACTCCACAGACCTCGACTATCACTTCTCCTGCCGCTACCCACTGGAGTACCTGATCAACAACACACAGATTGCGGCGTGAGTAACTGCCCTTCCTTTAAAATGAGCCTACATTGTGCAGAAGGGATATTTTTGATATACTCTATCAGAGGTGTACATATAGACAGTGCAGGAAGTGCAGTTGCATAAGGGCGCAGGGAGTATAGGGGGGCTGTAGGGCAGAGATCAGGCCCGTGCAAGACTGCCACCTTGAAAATACACGTTAGAAGTCACAAGTTATATCTCACATCAACATTGCAACGGTGCCATTTGCTATATATGCTCAATACATGTTTTTTGTCAAATAGTCAGTAGCAATAACAGAACTATATGCTTATTCTACATTAACTATAGAAACCATAAATAAACAAAAAATATTAAATTAAATCAAAAATGTCTTATTTTCTTTGGTGTTTTTGTCATATATATTCATACAATGATGATTGTTGGATAATATGTTTGCTGATGTCAAATGTCAAGTCTCTATTTGATCATGTAACGAGACAATACAGTATATGGTGTGTGTGTGTGTGTGCGTGTGCGCGTTCGTGCGTGCTTCTTAACTAGCGTGCACTGGGCCCATTGTGACTAACTTATGTCACTGCACCCTGTTCCATTTTGTCTGATCAACACATGATGACATACAGTCATTTTCTTTTCCATGATTTTTTAGATCCTCAGTTTCTGTGGCGACCAGCGATAATAATGGGACCTTCATTGATACTCTGAAGATGAGTGTTTTTAATGTAAGTTGGCGTCCAGTTACCTTTGACATACTACACCATAGAGCTGTTTCTATTGACTTATTTTACTCCGATTTCTTATTTCTCCAGGACTCTGACTACGGCTACCCGTTAGTCGTACCTTCTACAGGACTTGAGCTACGCACCAGGATCTATGTGGAGGTCAAGGCTGTTAACCTCACAGGAAAGTAAGTAATTAGCAATTGGATGAGTGGATGTTTTTATGGTGAATTTGCTTATCGGAAAACAAATATTAACATTAAAATGAGCACAGAGTTTTCTTGTTGCAAACAGTAAATCATTGTCCCACTGTCCTCTTTTAAGTTTCCATGTACTGCTGAATCACTGCTATGGCACTCCCACTGCCTACAACATGTCGGACAGTGAGCAGCACAACTTCTTCACAGGGTATGGACGCACACTTCAATAGTACAGCTTCTTACACGGGGGAAAAAATAATAACTTCCACACATTTTAAAATATAAACTACGTCTAAATAATTCTGCTCTCTATAGCTGTTCAGTGGACCAAAGGACATCTGTGACAAGCAATGGACTTTCAATGGTTGCCTGGTTTAACTTCGAGGCCTTCCGCTTTGTTATGCACCGCAACCAGGAAAAGTCCAGCATCTATTTGCACTGCATACTGAGACTTTGTGAGCCCAGCAAATGTCAAGACATCCTGTCTGTAAGTTGAAAAGTCAAGAATAAATCAGAGAAAGAAATGCTAAAGCAGTTTTCAAAGGTATCCCATGCCAATATTTCTCTGGCAGAGATATGTATGATACATATATCACCGTATAACTTACCCTTTTAAAAATATAGAAATAGAACATTTCTATCCACAGTGTTAAGCAGAGAGTAAGTCACACTGACATATTTAATACATCTGATTCATTTAAAAAGTTGCTACTTAAAGCATTACTAGAAATTTGTGGATATACAGTATTTTTGAGGTATTTAATGGTCTTATTAGATAACTGACCTAGATAACTGAATCAGGGACATTGTGGTTCATGGTACAGTTTTCTGTTTTATCATAAAATAAAACAAATCACTACTTATTTCTTAAAGAAGCCATAGTGTTACATCATATAACATAGATCCAACTAAACCCAACTGAATGAGTGTTGTTTGTCAGGCCTGTAAAAAGAGAAGAAAACGATCTGTGACTCCTTTTGGAGGAGAATCGGCTACTGTTTCAGTTGGACCTCTTTACACTGCTGCCGGAGAAGGTAAGACCCAGCAAAAATAAAAAAAAACATGATATAAAGTTGACTTTTTCCTCTGACTCTCTTTTTTATCTTCCTCTTCTAAAGAGAGGCCATATGCATCTGCTTACAGTGAGTATATTTTGATCAAATGTATCATTATAAATACATTTCAATATCTTCGAAGATCTTGGAAGACAACACAAAAAACAATCTCAATTAATCTCCCCCTGCGTGCATCAGGTAATGACGTGGCATCAGAGAGGGAAGATGTGAATGTGGCGGCCCTCGCCGTGGGGTTGGTGTTCGGCTCGGCTGCTGCTGCTCTGCTGGTCCTGGGTGGCTGGTTCGCCCTGAAGAAGTTTTATCGGGCGGGAGGATTACCCCATGCCTTTAACTGACAGATCAATTGGCAAATGATCTTTGCCTCATACCATATTGTAATTGTATGTTTATTGTGGGAACACAAAATCTGATAATGTTGGGATTTGTCAGGTGACAATGAATAAACACTCTTCTGTGTATACTTGCTGCATCTGCATTTGTCATTTATTGGATATAAAGGAACAGTCACACTTGAAAAAGAAACATTAAATATGTAAGCATTTAAAGAACATTTTAATGTGGTATGTTATCATAGATTTGCTTTGATAATGGCTCGCAAGTATGCCAACTGACAGTCTTACCAAATGTTGGGTATCATGTACAGAATCCCCGTGCTTAAAACAGTTATTTACATATTTCTATATATTTAGCACAATGCACATACTGCATAATCTGCAGTATATAAGTCAGATCTGTTCTGTACATATTCAAAAATAAAGTTTGAATTCTGGTTGGCGCAGCACTCTGTGGTTGATATTACATGCACTGTAAACATATACTGATATTTACACACTTATTCACATGCAGAATGAAAGAAATACAGTACATCAATCAAAAGCAAACACATCATATTTACAGGCTACTTACTTTGCTGGTACAATAGCAAACAGCAGACCAAACGTATGCACGTGGATACATGTCAAATTATACACTTTAATAGGACTATAGAACAGTTAACTGGTAGTTTTGTGCAAAAATGTACAATTGTCTCTGTCACTGCACTGAGTGCATAATGTCTTGGATCAGAGCAGAAAGTTTAACTGAGAAATCCTCCTGCAAGGAGGAAGCAGAAGCAGGAGACAGGCTTGAGGGTCCCTGGACCTCCAACTCCTCTTCAAGCCCCTGAAACAGCCTCTCCATTCGGACCTGAAAAACTTGGCTCTGCAGGGCTGCATTTTGGCAGAACCGCACCATACTGGCTGCGACTTCAGCCTTACCAGGCCGTGCAGTTTCTAGCAGAGCAGCAAGCTCTGCTTTAAGAGCCCCACTCCTCTTCTGTACCTCCATCCTCAGCGAACTCACTTCCTGTCCCAACCTGGAACTAATTTCCTGCCAGTGCTCTGACTTAGCTGCCTCTTGCTCACTAGCACTGATCTCTTTCAGATGTTCAATCACCCTGACGGATTTAGTATGGAAGTCGCTAATGAGGACGGCCACCCTGGAGCTGCTGTGCTCCAGTGTTTGGCTCATCCAGTGGAAGGCTTCCTGGTACAGAGCCGGATTGGCCTCTGCCTGGACCTCTGCTGTCTCCAGGCCCTGCAGATAGAGGCTCAGCTGGCCACACAAGTCTTTGGTGTTGCTGCTGAGAGAGCTCTGGAGCTGCTGGGTGAGGGGAGCCAAACGCTCCCTCATGGTGGCCAGAGTGGAGCTGAGGTGGGCGGGAGATGGGGACAACCTCTCTTGTAGCTCGGCCAGTTCTTGGTGCAGACGCATACGCAGACGCTCCGACTCCATGTTGAGTTTGCGTTTCATCTCCTCTGCCGCAGGGCTGTGATCCTCTGGGTCGTAAAGGTCACTGCTCTCAATGTTGGTCTTGTAGATTCTACTGAGCAAAGAGGCACAAAAGTAACACACAAAGCACATTAGAACATGTTTTGATATTTGTTCTCTATAGATAGTTCACTTTGACTTGAGTGTACGGATCCACATTTATTTCCGGTCTTTAACTAGTTTACAGTGCTTAGTTTAGTCAACTTACTCCACATATGTTTTGGGTTCTGTCTTGTCATGAGCCTGGTTGGCCTTTGAATCAGTCCAGGTTGCCTCCCTGGTGTAACGGGGAAGTCGGTATGCTGCAGATAAAGAAAAAACATACATGAAAAAAAAGATATACAAATGCAAAATAAAGGCTAGTTCACAGTATCTGAGGAGCAGTGTATACCTGAAGTTGTCAAGAATGACAGGGCGAAGATCACAACTTCTAGATGCATTTTTAACTTTCTGTGTAGGGACAGAAGAAAATACTTACATAAGTATTTAACATTAGAACAAACAAATGACTGAATACTAAACATTTTAGGATTAATAAATTATCTTTAATTCCTTTGACATACATTCCCTTCTCTGTCTAAGAAAGAAGACAAGAAGAAGTTCAATATGTGAAGAAGTGGCTAGCCATTACCTGAAGATCAGGGTTCTGGAGAGTGACTTCTCTTCTCATCCGACTTATAGGTCCTTGTTATCAGAGAGCCAGCCCAAACTCTGCCTGTGTCAACAGTCAACACGTGGAGGGTCACACTGATGACGGAACACATATACGCACACAGAGCTACACAGACACACACAGACACACACACACACACACACACACACGCACACACACACACACACACACACACAACGGAGTGAGGCAATGCCAAAAACATCTACTGTTAAACCTTCATAAAACTTAACAGCATTCTTGCAGCATTGATTTAAGGGAATCATGTCATGTCAATAAGGATGTGTCACTTTAAGATAGTGTGCCAAAGGGAGAAAGTACTATGATGAGAAGCATGATAGAATAACAATAAAAACACTGCCAAGAGATAAGAACACTGTAATAATAATGATATGGAAAGATTGCTGCCAACTCAGCAGCAGCTTTGCACCCTTATTCCAAAGAAAAAGAAAAAGTAAAAATGAGGAAGAAGTGTATTAGAGCGACCAAAAAAGGTTCAACAAGTTGAAGTTTGTGTGTCCACGGCTAACTAGAAATGTGGCTGGATTTCAGGCTTATTACGTCAAAGACCCACTTTGCCAGGAACCAGAAGTATATCAGTATTTACACTGGGGTCACTTGTTTGACCCACACTGCCTGATGTGACTCTTTAAGCATTATGCAAGATTTGAAGTGGGTTTTTCTGTTTTGTATGTTTTCAATTGTGTCCAATTCTCATGGAGCCTTGGTTACTAAGGCTTGTTCTGGATGCAATAAACAGTTTACAAATCAATGTTTGTGCCGCAAATCAGGACGGAGCAGCTTGAAACAGCACAAGTAAACACTGCTGATTATGCAAAACGTGTTTTTCTGTGTTCTTTTTTTTACCAGCAAAACAATAAATAAATAAATTTACAAGACAACTTCAAGTGCATTATTGAGTTTTCATGCTCATTTACACTGTGACATTTCTACATTTTGCATGGAACGGCTTTACCAATGATATTCTGTCCATGATCTCATTAACTTGTGGAGTATTTGTGAGTGCCATGTGGCATGGATGTGTAGGTGAAAGTTGAATCCTGTTCAGTTGGTTATGAGACGTCAATGTGGGGTCAAAGTCCATGGCTACTGTGATGAAATATGTGGCTTATTCCACTTATCCAAAGTCCAACATTTATTTCAATACAATAACAGGGTAAGTAAGATGTTTTTTTTTTATTGTTGAACAGATAGCAACTTTAACATACTGTATGTTCCCACAGAAAGCCTTGTTGTACACACACATGAATGAAGAATTTATGGTTGTAGAAACTATTACCATAACTCTTGATATATTTAATGACTGCACAGTATAATATAGGGTTAGGTTCCCTGCTTGATTTGAATATGGAACAAAGGGTAACAATCTCACCTTGGTTATTTCACAGGTATGCAGAGGTTTTCATGAAAAACAAAAACAAAAATTTGTCAAATGTGTATTTTTTTAACTAAATAAATAAACATGTTTGTAGCATATGCAGGTCACTTACATAAATAAATGCATACATTATGCATTTTGCATGTTATACTGCATATACACTATCAGCTCACAGATAAAACAGACATTTATTGCTGTAGATGACCCGTCAGTTGTGGGTCACACAGACCTTGACAGAAGTCTTATTATCAACACGTATGTATAACTGTTCAACACAGATGAACAGTTATAATATTCATCATCTGAATAGAAGTTAAGTTGCAGCTGTCTTGCATAAAGTCAGGTACTATATCAGAGCAGATATCGGAGCCTGATATGTGAATTTCAATGTGAATTCAGCAGCTGCTGTGATACACATAGTGCTTAGAAGACACCTCTAAAGCAAAGCTGTGTTGATGTATCTTGTAAGCAAAATCTTTAATCAGTTTCATGGTAGGATTGAGAACAACAAATGCAGTAATGTGACCCGGCAGCACCAGGCAGCTGTACTCTCTGTTTCCCCCGCTAATTTCCACTGTCACTGTCACCTTACCTCACAGGCCTCATAAATCATTCAGCAGGCCATTGAAAGTTATGCAGACTAACTAGCCCACTACTTACCTCGCAGCTCTGTCTACCAACGGACAGATCAGGTCATGTGTGCAGGACTACAGCAGACAGGTGAGGCTTATTAAGGGAGTGAGGTTGCTACACCATCTTCATAACTACTTTATTGGCTATCACCGTAACAAGGCACGCAACCAAGCGACTTTTAACAGATCCTGGATAAAGAATTAAAAATGTCTCCCTGAGTCTGGAAAAGAGCTGGGTTACTTGTGCACCAGCCCCTTACTTCAGCAGGTGAACATATTAACCATGCTAAGGACATGCAGATGCAAGAGTTTCAGGTGTGTGTGGTGGCTGAATGCTGTGCTTCTTACTCTGGTCAGTGGAAACAACTTGAGTCAACAGTTCCAGGAGAGGCCATCCTGCCAGCCAGGTAAGCTATCTTGACCGTACTTATTTTCTACATATGTTTAATCACTAATTTGAAAATGTTAACAAATAGTGTCACAAACCTCTTCCGTATACTTTCTCTAGATGGTTTTGGTGACAAGCGACAGACACAGAACCCTTACTTTGCCAGTCCTTTTTGTATTTGTATTGTGTATATTTATATATATATTTATTTCTGATAGGTTTCTACTGCCCTTTGGGGAACTTCATTCCAGTCCCTTGTCCCAGGGGAACCTATGGGCCAACTTCTGGTGCTATGTCCATTGACAGCTGTCTGAAGTGTCCTCCTCACCACTTCTGTCCTAGACCAGGCCTGTCTGCCTCCCTTCCCTGTGGCCCTGACGCTCAGCAGCCTCTCTCCGGTCACAACACTTGCATCTGTCTGGGAGAGGGACAGAGTTTCCAGGTGACAAAGTGTTTTCACATGATAGTACAATAGGATCAACCCAGTCATTCCTGCTGTGTTCTCTGAAGTGTGTTTATGTGACCATTTTAATATCAGCACAAACAAAGTACACAAGTGGGTACTTTACCAGTCACCCACTTGTGCACTTGTCTTCTAATCTCCTCCTTTATTCTCTTGACTTTCTTTATCTTGTATCCTAGGAAACATTGTGCACACTCATGTGAGAGTAGTTTCCTCACTGAGAGGAAACTTTAGACTTTACAATCTGTTGCTTCAAGCTGAAAGAGCTCTAGATCAAATTCCTTCACAGTTGGGTCTTGTTTCCTCTGTTGCAGCTTGCACTGGTGATTAGCCCTCTAATCAGCACTTAAGGAAAATTTGATTTTTTTTCTCTGACTGATGCATGAGTCTTTGTGAGAAAAAATGTGGAATGAATAAATGAATGAATGGTGGAAGGAAGGAAGGAAGGAAGGAAGGGAGGGAGGGAGGGAGGAAGAAAGAAGACAGATAGATATGGTTTGATATGCTTTGTAAGTGAAGGAATGAATGACCAGATTAGCAAATTATGTAACAAACGGACCACACTGTGAACTGCATGCAACATTATATACGATGTTTGAACTCTGCTGCCTTTTCTGCAGACCAGTGATGGGCAGTGCCACTGCACCATCGGCTACCAACCTACCAACAAAGGAGATGCATGTGTACACAAACTCTACTATGTCTGCAGAGATGGAAGAACTCGTACACAGTATGGAGACTGTCTGGACAGATATCAGTGGGCACTTCACTGCAGGCAGCAGGTCAGACTTTGTGCAGTTGTATCCCACACAGATGTAGACCTACACACTAAAGTAGAGCAAAGGTAATTGGCATGTCTTTCACAAAACAACAGGAAACTCTTCCTGATGATCTGATTGAATGATGCTTGAGGATTTTGACTGTAGACTGTGATCTGTTTACAGAACACACTGAAAAAACAAACTCTACATTCATAGAAAAGGCTATTGAGTACAACCTAGATGTCTTTGCCCTTTCCTCCATGAACCCGACAATAGTTTATCTAGCAGAGGCTTGTATTAGTCCCACTTAATATTTAACCATTAACTGCTTCCTGTGACTGTCAGATAGCAAGGCCTTCAGTGTACTACCATGCAGTGTTTATTTTTGTCACGGCCCTCCATAGCAGTATTTGGTACAAATGACCTTACACCTAGTTACACACTCAAACCGGGCATGAGTTGACACTTTTTATGTATGAAAGCTGGTCCAAGCAGAGAAAAGATCAGTAATATTTGCTTGTTTTCAAAAAGGATTATAGTACTAATAAAGCATTTAGCTGATTTTAGCTTTGCACTGGTTACTTTCTTGCAGGTGTGTCAATCTGCAGAGGATTACCGGGGTTATGATGGGGAGCTAGGTCTGTGTGTCTGCAGAGAGCCTCCTGGAAGAGCTGCGTGTGGAGGCCTTTGTAGGAGAAGGCCAGCTACTGAGCTAAAACTCAACTGCCAGTCCAATGGAGACATGGAGCTGGTGTGGCGCTATGAAAGTCAGGTTAGCAAAGGCAGTTTTAAATTTGTATAAACACACACAGCAACATATTAATCCACAAAAGAAAAAGAAATATAGAGAAAAGGCATGCTTTTGGGTCAATTAAAAACCCACTGTATCCGAGAAGTGTTCTTTCTGCTTATGATATCCATACAATATTGCCATAGAAAAAACAAAGAATAGTTAGAGCTACACTACCTGGCAATGTATACAAAACCTTTACACAATGACGTCTTTATCGCAGAATAAGGAGTAGGACAAGCGTCTCTTTTGTTGCAGTGACCTATAAATGGTAAACACTGTTATTGTGTGTGTGTGTGTGTGTGTGTGTGTGTGCGTGTGTAGGTGACAGGCGTCTCAGGCAGCGTGCTGGAGACGTTTTTTAACTCCCAGGGGACTCCTCTGTGTAACAGTCATCTCAACTCCTCACATGTTGTCTACATTGTTCAGACAACAGGTAAAGACACACAAAGTGGCTTTCTGTCTATCCTCTCTCTCTCTATTTGTCTCACACATCTTATACCTTATTATTATTATACCT